ATTTGCAACTGCTGGATTTTGGTCGCACTTCGCTTCCACCCCTTCCCTGCCAAGACACCGGCGAGTTGAACTTTGTCGGATGGTACAAGTCATTAGCTGGTTCCTCTGTGGTCTTATCCGCAGCTTGGCACGATTTTCAAGCAAGAGCGGCAGGTATCCTGCTAGCGGTAGAATTCCCGGCAGTGCGTCCTGCCGGCACGCGTCATGCTTTCATAATTTGTATAGGCTGTATAGGCATGACGCGGGCCGTGGTGTTGTCTGACAAGGGCAGCTCGCTCGAAGATGGATGGCTAGGTCGAAGCTTCTGACGAGATCTGACGAGAGCACGCGCTTGCGTTCGTGAGGCAGATGAGGCATCGCCCTTCCTGGAGATCCTGTCGAATGACAACATGCGCCCTCCGGCGGGGGACCTGGGGGAAGGTGGGGAACCGGCTTGAGCTCGGAAAGCGCTGTTCATGCGTGAGAGAAGGTGCTGATGCCGTGACACGTGGACAGTGCCGCTGTACTCGAGCACCGGGCTCAGCCTCACACGCCGCAGCCGCGCAGGGGCGGAGACCAGTACAATGCTCACGCGCCTCTTGCACTGTAGACGCCTCCAAGAAAGTGCCGCAGCTCACCTAGGACCTAAGCTCTGTCAGCGGTCGGTTGCAGTTGGACTCCGATTGACATCCTATACATCCTTCAGTCCGCAGTGTCCTGGGTTGGTTACATCCTGACTCGGGGCAAGCAGTGTATCGTGTCTTTCGGCTGCATGTGTCTGCAAACGAGTGCACGTTTGGGCTCAGACGCGCGTGCCAACCCCTCAGAAAGTCCCGGCTTATTAAATTATTGCCGAAGCCATGATGCAAGCGAATTTCGTGCAGGCAGGTGGCGGTGCACTCGCCGTTCCCGTTGTGGGAGGCATGTGCAGCCCCATGCCGGCTGTCCTCATGTGCCCGCAACCTGCAGTTGTTCCTAGGATCAACTAGCCTGAAGTTCATGTGGGTAGTTTCTACCCTTTGTAGGTCCCCACTATAAAAAGGACCCCGAAAGGGACCCTACCCTAGAGAACTGCCCATGTGGAGAGCTGCTAGAAGTGCCGTGGGTTAGCATCGGAACATGCAACAGCATGCGAGCAAAGCTGTGTCAGCTTAGGCTGTCGTCTTGAATGTGCAGGGAGGGGTGCCTGCACCAATCTTGAACGTGCAGGGAGGGCAGCTTGGCCGCGCAGCAAGCCGCTTCAAGTGCATGTGTTCCTGTCGGGGCCCGGCCGGGTCGCGCTGAGGCAGCCGATGACCTTCCCGAATGCTGTGCCGATCATGGCTGGGACCCAGATGCCGCAGATACAGCCGATACAACCTGTGGCATCAGTTCAGTGCCAGGCAAGTTGGGGTAATTGGTGTTGGTAGCTTGGGCTGTGATGTCTTGGCTTGTCAGGTGGCTGTGAAGGTGGAGGGTTGGGGCGGCGATTAGTAACGTGGTCTCCTCTAACCAGGGCTGTCCTGCCTGAACTTGACAAGCACGGATAGTACAGCACAGGAGTCGAGTGCCGAGATATCAAGTCTGCCACCCACACCCTCCGCGAGTTGCTTCACTCGAACGACTACCGGGAGCACCACTGCATCAGGGTCTTCCTTTGGACTGTCGGAGAGATCCATGACTCCTGTCTTTCTGGGAAATTTGCCACCGACTCCGGAAAAAGCGCCACAGGTCCAAGGCCGTGTGTGGCAGCTCTGCCAAAAGCAGACGGGATGCCGTCGTGTACAGGAAGCCATCGATGCCTGCAGCTCTGACCAGGAGCGAAATGCACTTGCGCAGGAGATGGCTGGACATGTCTGGGAAGCGGCTCGTTGCCCTTTCGGGAACTATGTCCTTCAGAGATTCATCACCTTGCTGAGGCCACGCGACTGCCAGTTCATCATTGAGGAGATCTCTTCCCAGGGGAGGCGAGCAGCTTCGCAGCTGGCACGCCACCGCTATGGATGTCGGATCATGCAGCGACTCCTGGAACATCTCCGACATGAGCAAACGATGGGAATGGTGGATTTCTTGCTTAAGGAGGGGCTTCAGCTCGTCCGGCATCAGTACGGCAACTTCGTGATGCAGCGGATCCTCAGTCATGGCACGCCCGCCCAGCGGCACTCGCTCTGCCAGCTTCTATTGATTCAGGCCTCTGATCTGGCCACGGACCAGAACGCCAGTGCCGTGTTGGCCAAGGCACTGGCCCATGTCTGTCCCGAGGACAAGAGAAGCTTGGCAAATGGGCTCTTGTCGCAGCCAGGGCTTCTCTTAGCCATGTCCAAAATTCGGCATGGCCACCAGACAGCCCTGGCTTTGCTTCATGTCCTGGAGGGGGAGATGCTTGCAAAGGCCCTGGACACTATGCAGGAGAACCTTTCAGCCTTGTCGCGCTCTCGCTACGGCCGGGTCGTGTAACTCGGCCTGCATCTGCCGTCGGAAATCAGGGTTGCAGCAGCCTCATCCTGCCCATTGTTTGAAAAATTAGGTGAACTGATCTGTTATGATCTGTTGAACGTGTCATTTACTTATCTGATCTTGTCTGTGCCTGGCTTTCGGTGGGGTTGTGCGTAGGACCTGCAAGGCGCTTGCAAGCACTGTAAGACAACATTGGCGCTGTTCCTCAGGCTACGGAGCATCCCGGCGCTGAGTGCGGTCTGCACTGATCTGCCTGGAGAAGAGGTCGCTGAAAACTCCTGAGAAGCTGAGGGTGTCCTCGCACGTGCGAGCTGAATTCGTACGATCTCAGATGCCGAGATGTGGAGCACTGCGGAGCCTGTTGAGGACACTTGCTTTGGCTCCACGGCTTCTGACTGCATGGCTCTTCCCAGTTGGGATCGGTCTTCAAATCATGACAGGCCGCTGGCACTTTGTATAGGCCGCCTCAGTGGTGTGCAGCCTCGATTTTATCCGGTTCTTCGTTTCAAGCCACCATGTAAAGAGTTTCAACTCGTCTTCGTTGCCTGCAGACCCCGTCTCATTCTGCAGGGAGGGGCTGTGGTGCAACTGGAAGAGCACGCCTGAATGGCATATCATCCCAAATACTCTGCTTTGAAGGAATCTTTCCGGTGGGAGGCACGAGGGTACCTGCCCTGGTAGATTCGTGCGTCTAAAGCACGCACATTGCATGCTTGGCTTGGCTTGGCTTGGCATTTTTTTGAAAGGACCAGGCACAGGGTCCAGCAGCTTGCCTGACTTGCAACTGCTGGAGTTTTGTCGCTCTTCCACCTTCCCCCCCTTCCTCTGCCAAGACACTGGCGAGATGAACTTTGTCGGATGGTACAAGTCATTAGCCGGTTCCTCTGCGGTCTTATCCGCAGCTTGGCGATTTTTGGACAGACGGCCGGCATGGCCGGAAGTAGACTTCCCTGCCTTTGTCTTTGCTTGTCCGAGTCATTCCTGTTAAAGCATGGAAGCACCAGAAAATCGCATGACGCGGGCAACGAAAGCAGGCACGTGATTCCACATTCAGAGTATTTCAATGTCGAGGAAAAAGTCGTTTCGATGTGCTTGACTTTGCACTAGAATTGACCCCCGAACTTTGCTTAAAATGGCAATGTTTAGCAAGCAAGGTGATTGCCTACGGCAGGGAGGTGTTGATAGCGGTTGACATGAGCGGTTCCTAAAGAGCGGGTTTGATGTGAAGACTTGGTGTGGCATCGGGTCGCCGATATGAGATCGCTCTGCGTTCATGAAGCGAGACATGGCGAAAGCTCTGTGCAGCGAGCTTGTGACTTGTGCTCTTCCACGAGACCTAGGTCGGGAGCATGTCCTCCGGCGACGTCCGGTGGCAGGTATCGAAGGGTGTTTCGGCGGTGTACGGGTTTTGATTAGTCTTGCCATCATGCGACTCAGGATGCGTGTGTGGTCTCGCGGCAGAGTCGTACCATGCCGTACCACGATGTGTGTTCAGGGTGACCTGTCGGGGAAGTGCAGTCACCTAGAACGACGATGCCTGCGGTAATCGAGTTTGCCGCCATCGAGGCGGGGAGACCTGGGCTCCGAGTGTATTTATGGTCCCATGAAATGAATCCGGCTGCGGCAGTCCTGAGCTTGTGGATGTTGCATTGGCAAGGTTCATGAACCTTGTCACCTAAAGAGAAAGGAGAAGTCGCAACGAGGCTGCTGCGGAAGGATCACACCATCCATGAGTGGAACAACAGAGAGAACTCAAGGCGAAGCAACTCTGATGACGGGGGGCGATGGCAGAGAGGGGACGCTGGGGAGCGTACTGGCACCAGCATCAGAGTTGCTGCGCCACGAATGCTGGCACTGGTACTTCGGAGAGGGGAACAGTGCACGGGAACGCACGGGTGCCTGGCACTCTTGCAGAAAAGCCTCGCGCCGCTGCTCCCGCCCCTCGAAGTGCTCTGCCACGCCCCGATGGCGGGGCATGGCAGAGCACTTCGAGGGGCGGTTGTAGATGCTCTAGCAGAGGCAGATGCCCTAGCTGATGACATCTGTATTGCATATGTTTTCTGCTAGGGCCTCTGCTAGAGCTGGCATCTACAACCCGCCATGCCGCTCTGATTCATCTGCAACATGCTTGAAGCCCAACACACCAGGGTCCAGTGAAGTTGAGTTGTGTGAGCAGCATCGCCGATCAGTCTAAGGATTAGCCTGCAGGCGGATTGCCAGGCAGCAAGCGGCTTTGCCGATGTGCGGTCCCACCCATGTGCCAGGTGCCGGCCCTTGGCAGCATGCTGCCTTGAGGTCCCACATATGCAACCCTTTCCGGCCAAAGCAAGCTGGACTTCGCGAGGTTAGAGCCGCCAGCTGCTTCAAGTCAGTGTCGACAGAAAAGGGAGCCTATGAAGCTAAGCTTGCTGTTTCGGCTTCCTGGGTCGGCTAGAGTTTCGACGCATGGTGGAGGTCTCTTGCAAGGATGGTGCAGGGGAGACTTGTTTTTGGGAGGTGAGGACTGTTGCGCAGTGGCTTCTTTGCGGGATGCGTTCGGAGTTCGCCGGAGTTGGGGCCGCTTGTACCTGCCAGACACTGTTCAGCTCTTGAGCGCAAGCCGGGAGACATAGCCCGCATGACATGTGCATGCGAGTCACTGCAAGCACAAGGCAGCTATCTTCCTCAATCTCGAGCTTTATCGTTAGGTTACCACCCAACAGCTTCGACGACTATGGCTTAGGCACTTATGACAACATGACAACACATTACTGTCCAAATCCTTGTAGTCATGGATAGAGCTTGTTGCCGCAGACGCATGGTGGCAACAAAGCCTCGACCTCGGCCGATCTTGATTCGGGGAGACGCAAGGATTCAACGTGCTACGGTTCTGGGTTGGGATTTTCACGTCACTTGCGAATACTTGCGCAGTTATTTCGAGAGGTGGTATGGCATTTGGCTCTCGCAGGATCATCACCATCATTTTCGGCTTCATCATCGCCGCCGCCGCCACCGCCACCGCCA